CCTTCTCTCTCTCTCTCTTCTCTCTCTCTCTCTCTCTCTCTCTCTCTCTCTCCCCCCTCTCTCTCTCTTCCTCCCCCCCCACTCTCTCTTTCTCGCTCTCTCTTTCTTCTCTCTCTCTCTCCTCTCTCTCTTCCTCTCTTTTCTCTCTCTCTCCCCCCACTCTCTCTCCTCCCTCTTTCTCTCTCTCTCTCTCTGCTCCCCCACTCTCTCTCTCTCTCTCTCTCTCTCCTCTCTCTCTCTCTCTCTCTCCTCCCCTTCTCTCTTCTCTCTCTCTCTCTCTCTCTCTCTCTCTCTCTCTCTCTCTCTCTCTCTCTCTCTCTCTTCTCCTCCCCTCTCTCTCTCTCCTCCCCCCTCTCTCTCTCTCTCCCCCTCTTTCTCCTCTTCTCTCTCTTCTCTCTCTCTTCTCTCTCTCTCTCTCTCTCCTCTCTCTCTCTCTCTCTCCCTCTCTCTCTCTCTCTCTCTCTCTCTCTCTCTCTCTCTCTCTCTCTCTCTCTCTCTCTCTCTCTCTCTCTCTCTCTCTCCAAGTTCATTTCCATAAACATGACTGCACAACCCCCCTCTGTCTCTCTCTCCCTCTCTCTCTCTCGGAAATAAATATAACTATATAACCCCTACACGAAACTGGTTAAACGTTCAATCAAAATGTCAATAGGACATAGGCATATCCATTCATAAATTCATATAGGGTGAATATCCTCATTGATTTATGCACCTACAAATAATTGGTAACAAAACAGGCATTCAAACCAGACATATTACACAGAAACAGGTCCGAGGATTCAGTACCTGGATTAACCTACCACAAAATATTAGAAACATCTCCAATCTAATTACTTTCAAAGGGAAATTGAAAGAGTTTCTTTTGAATTGTCAATGACATCTAATAATTAAATGAAAAGCCAAACCATGTACCTTTATTTCTAATTATGCGGCCAATTTATTTTATCTTATTTTATAATTCCACTACGAATGAACTTGATATTATCTTCATTTAGTTTGTATTACTGTACACTGCCATGCACATGAACAAAGAAGAACCATTGCAAATAATGGAATTATTTCTTTCTCTCTCTCTCTCCATCATTCTCTCTCTCTCTCTCTCTTTCTCCATCATTCTCTCTCCTCTCTCTTTCTCCATCATTCTCTCTCTCTCTCTTTCTCCATCATTCTCTCTCTCTTTCTCCATCATTCTCTCTCTCTCTCTTTCTCCATCTCTCTCTCTCTCTCTTTCTCCATCATTCTCTCTCTCTCTCTCTTTCTCCATCATTCTCTCTCTCTCTCTCTTCTCCATCATTCTCTCTCTCTCTCTCTTTCTCCATCATTCTCTCTCTCTCTCTCTCTTTCTCCATCATTCTCTCTCTCTCTCTCTCTCTCTCTCTCTTTCTCCATCTTTCTCTCTCTCTCTTTCTCCATCATTCTCTCTCTCTCTCTCTCTCTCTCTCTCTCTCCCTCTCTCCCCCTCTCCCTCTCTCTGTTTATATCTGGATATGGTGCCGGTGGCAGTATTGTATTCTTTTTAATACTTGTAAATGGTATTTTCTTTAAGAATATTTGTACATATAGATATTCAAATTATTTTAGTGAACAAATGGTAATTGTGATTCGCATATCCAGTAGAGCATTTTGCATAGGTTATTAAAAATGAGCCACCTAACTGGCATCTATCGAACTCGAGTTGGCGGGCATTGAAGGGCTCAGGCGACGAAACAGTGTCACGCATGCGCAGAAGCAGGGGGCTGAGCTAATTCTCGGCTAGATGATATGGCTCCGCCTCCATGAACTATGACGTCATGAGCCCGACCCGTCCGGCATCAAAACCCTAACGCGAAGAGTTCGCGTCCGAGGTACAACCCGGGACGTCCGGGGTTTGGAAAAAAAGGAGATGGCGGCCTAAGACATCGAATCAAATCGTATCATATTAGATGCGACGCGAAAAAAATAGATCTCTCAATTATCATTTCGGAAAATCGGGAAAAACACGTGCGGCGGACGTAGAATACCGTAACCTCATTCCCGTATTATCAGTTATGATATGATTATTACGAAAATATGTTTTCAATCAGTCCACATTTTTCCAATATTTTAGACTAAAAAATAAATCAATAGGCAAGAAATATACATCTTCAAAATATTAAACAATGCACAGGGTTAGAAAGGCTATGCTAGACCCAGGAATCCTGAGGAGAAAGTTCAGTGCTAACCACATTTTTCTACACAAACATACAGCACAGAATTCTAAGAATACGATATACACTACCATGCCTTTGACACTGTATATTGCAGACATCACTCACTCCATCAGTGATATACTGTGCGTCCAAAACAAAACTTACCAAGGGCACACGGAAAATAACACACACCCGAGAACACAACTCACCTTACAGCATATATACACACACATACATATGTGTGTGTAGGGGGTGACCTCCAACCCCCTCAAATGATGCCCGTGTTCACCACCCTCTTACAAGGTCTATATAAGTACAGGTCTCGTCACTAAAAAGCAACTCAAATTCGTCCGTCTCCCGCATGACGTCACTAGGAGTTCTAGTCACTAGCCTGAGGGTTCGACGCTAATCGTGTGGTCATTCTTGGATGTGAGGTAGATCCCTAAGGATCTCCCTCGCTCTCCCGTTTTCGGTCGCTTGACTGACTAGTGCGCGTAAAGCCACAATGTCCAGTGGTTGGTTGCAGCTTCTATATGTGTATGATTATGTATTGTCATTATTATTGTTATTATTATAATTATTAATGTCATTTTTGCATGATTTGTCTTATAATAAATTTGTCAAAACATTTGATGTTTAAATATGCCATGTCTTCTTTGTTTACTTTACGT